GTAGTTACCATACCCATTACAATGACTTTTTGTAGTAAGCTGGTAAAGGAAAAAAAAAAAACAACAAAAACCTAACAAATAAAAAAATAAAGATTTTTATATTTATAAAAAAGAAAAATACACATCCTGGAATTCTTGTTCAAAATAATTAGCTATTCCCATACAGGAATTCACAGGTATGAAACAAGCCATATACTGTAATTTGCTATATGCAAACCAATTACTGATATTAATGCCTACCTGGAAAAGAGTTGTTTAACTATTAAGAATAGTTAAGAATATAAAAGTAATGTTTAATCTATTTGAAAGTGTGTGTGTGTGGGGAGTGTTCCCCATAGGTGTGTGCCAGCTTAGACTGAGATAGTTTTTAAGTTTCATTTTGTATTGTAAAACAGGCTCTGTTTTCAAAATTGTCAGTTTGAGACTCCTAGGGCAACAAAAGCTACAGATACCACTGCATCAGTATTTGTTTTTAGGGCAAAGCGTAAAAGCCCTCCCTGTAATCCACTTTCAAATACATTTTAAGCACAGTTTATCTAGGAGCTATAGTTGCCTTTAAATACTTAAGAGTAGCACATCCCCTTTGCAAATACTGGAAATCTAATAAGAAAAATCTGAGGATCTTTTCACGCAAAGCTTATTTGAAAGGAACTTAGATGGCTTGCAGTTTCCCTTTGGCTTTCTTATAAAGAAGCTTGGCCTAAATTTTCAAGTGTGAGTAGTAATTTTTGGATACTCAGCTTCAGATCAAGATGCAATTTTTGAGAAGCCTAGCACCTTGTGCATGAAAAATTTTCTTTAAAACACTTAAACTAGACAATTTAAGGTACACAAGATCATAGGCTCTTTCTGAAAATTTAGCTCTGTTCCCCAGGCTTTAACTTGTCTGTGTTTCCCATTCCCTGTTATTCATCATCCCCTACCAGATGACTCTCTAAATTCTCTCCTGGCTACCCAAACCAGATATCCTCCACTGATGAGGGCATCATGTAAAGTAGCTGTCTCCCTGCTTTATTTCCTTCTTTCCTCAAAGTCATACCTACTATAGTTAGTGCTGGTCAACGTTTGCCTTGAAACTACTCGACAGAAACCCTACATTTTACACATTGCAAAACTGAGGCAGACACTCCTGCCAAAGACTGCACATGCAGCTCTCATAAACCCAGCAGCAGCTGAAGTTGCTCAGAACTTCCAACTAATTTTGATGCAGACCTACAGCACTGTCATGGCAGAGACGACTGGGATTTCGCAAGTAAAGACCCGTCTACAGCTAGGACCCTAACCTCCCCACAGAAACAAACACTGCAGTTGAGCTGAGCTCATGCTGACAGACACCAAAGATTATTTATTACTATTATTTTTACATACAACACCCAAGAATAAGCAGTCTGAGACTGTTTTATCCCTGCTTAGCAAGTCATGGTTCATGCCTGTGATTTTTAGCCTAAAGTATCACATTCTCCGTAAGGCATGTCATCAACTCCATCCCCATCATGAAACACTCTGTGGTAAAAGCTTCAAGGTACAGGTAAATGTAAAATCAGTTTAGCCTGTTAACCATCTAAAGTTGCCTTTTATACCTTATCATTTTAGAGCACATCTACTGAGTTTTAAAAACGCACCTTTTTCCTAGCATACGCAAGCTCACAGGGGTCCAACATAACATCAGGAGACAGACTAGAACCCATTCCCACACCCATCTGAACAGAATGCGCTCAGAAGTCAATAATGTGGTGATTCATCCAATAAGCTAGAAATCTTCATCCTACAAAATACCAAAGCATAGACAAATTACCCAGAAAATGCTGCACACAGGCTTTTTTCTTGAAAACTGTCAAATTTTGTGAGATGCCATAACCCTGGATTAACACAGACATAAGGACCAAATTGCTGCTCTGTTGTTTTTTAAACTGATAAGGAGAAAAAATTAAAAGGAATCCTAAATATTTCAGTGGTCCTGGAATTAACGCAGTATTGCAACATACGGTGAGTCAGTTGCCAAACATTAGTATGAAACATAATATTTAATATATAGTGACTATTTTTCCTTAAAAAGATGCAAACACATCTCTTTTTTGGCAGTAAAGACAAAGCCTATTGTCATAAAAATCATTCCCTTCCAAAACCAATACTTCAGGTACAAGTGTTCAAGTTCAACTTGGAATTGTTCAAGGCCAGGCTGGATGGGGCTTTAAGCAACCTGGTCTAGTGGAAGTTGTCCCTGCCCGTGGCAGGGGGGTTGAAACTAGATGTGCTTCCAACTCTAACCAGCCTGCAATTCTGTGAAGTAGTTGTAACTGCTGAAGAAATCACACTTTCAGTTCTTTCCCCTTCAAGGAAATGCTTGGGTAAATGTATTTCTTCTTGAGAGAGAGCAATCACAGCAACCTGGAAGCTACACAGGTTCTACCTTTAGGAGCAGACAGGGATGTAGCCAATACACTGCAAAGAAATTCTGGCTGAAGTAGGAAATGGGATGGAGAGCAAAGCTAGCCTGATTTGGTCCCAAAAGTAAAAGAATGCACAGATGGGTCTATTTAGACCTGCAGTAACTGCTGTCATGCAGTGTTTTTGTTTTCCTTAGCTTTTTCTCTTTCCTATTAAGAACCATTTTCATTTAGATTGTGTGCTGATTTACAAACCACCACAGTTAATTATGAGTTATTAAGGACTAGTAAATTTACATACAGCAGTACTTTTGAGTTTTGGCAGAAACCAGGAAACTTCTTCTCTGGCCACACAGACAATGAGCAGAAGATATTTGCTCTGAGACAAAAAAAGACTAAAAAAAAAAAGAATCCTGGCTGCAAGTAGTATGACTGTAGCATACTATACAGTAGGACTATTACTGCACTGAGTACAGTCAGTGATCCTGAAAAGTGAACATACCTTAGACAACTGGGAGGAAATCAGGGAAAGAAGCTCACCAACATGTTGCAGGAAAGTTAAAAGCACAGTCAATTGGTAAGCATTATCAAAAGAAAAAACCTTAACTGTTTAGTGTTAAAGAAAGAAAAAGGGAAATCCTGAGTACTAAAACAAGGGTAGAAGAATTTACTGTCCAGCTCATGCACACATTATACTTTTCACAAAACACTTAATTTTCTCCTTCATTTTTACCCTTTACCAACAGTCAAAACTTCGCCTACAAGGCGAAGCTAAATCACTGCTGACAATTGGTGCAGCCAAATGCAATTTCCTTTGTCTACACTTGTAAGGAGAGACATACCCTGCTCTAGTTCAGCTGCACCCTTTGTTGTCAACAACTGTCAACAGCAGTTCAATTTAGTGCACCAAGGAGAGCCCAACCAATTTGGAAAGAATGATCCCACCCGGCTCCTCCAGAACACACACGCAGAACAGCCAATGCAAGAAAAACACTAAAATATTGTTAGGAAAATGAACAGTAAAAACCCATCAGATCTGGCAGAGGGATTGGAACCATCTGAAATTACTTAAGTATTGTGACCAGAACCCCCCCCCCCCGTCCCAACTGACTTCTCAGTTGCCCATGTTACAGAGTTGCCCATTTCTCCTTCACTTTGTCAGAAAGGAGTCTGTTATAAAGACTATCATGACAATACCAGTATCCTCATTTTATTTATTTTACATTAAAAAAGCCCCCAAAACATAAGTGTTATGATCTCGAAGAAAATATCACTATACCTTATTTGAAGGGAACTCTGCCACTTGCCCTAAGTAAGGCAAATCCAACTAATGCAGACTGCACTGGTGGCATCTACTGTGACTTTAAATCATGTCAATATCCCCTCTCACACTTTAACGGCCAAAAGAATTACAACCTTCTTGGATTAATGCAGTACCTGTCATTAGGCTGGCAATTAAATCCCATTTCTGAGATTGTGTGATCTGAGTCACCAACATCTGCAAATATCTTTATATCTTGTGTAATAGCTGGCCTCAGATCTTGATACACCAAAGTAAAAAGGCCTTTTTAATGGCTCCCACGTTAGTTTGGACTTAAAACTCCATGATGACAGCAGCTTCTCGAAACAGCCCATGAATCAAATTTATTATCCAGTTTGTCATGTGGGATTTTCTTAAGTCTAAGCCAATGGAGCAACAACGAATCAAGGTCATCGCTTATACTGCATGAATAAAAATTAACCTCCTGCTCAACAATTTTTCTTTTGATACTGAAAGGTACTTGTACTTTTGTACAACTGGGAGCATGTGAGAAAACATTCTTGAACAGCATCTCCTCTCATACCAGTCTGTCTTGACTTAAAATAAAAAAAACCCCAACACCGCCACCAACAAAAACAACTAAAAAACACCAAGAAACACCAAAACCCCCACAAAACTGCCAGCCATCTTACTGCTTCCAACATCAGTAGTTACACATGAGAAAGACAATCCAATTGCAGGATGCTCACTCCAGGAATTCATTTCCTTCCCAACAGTATTATTGAATATTTAAGCAGATCAGTGATTTTCAAATGATGGTTCAGTGCTAAAAACCGCAGCACAGGAAGATCTTTTTGCCATACAGATCAGAAATGATACACCATGTTATGGCCTTTGAAAACGAATCTAGCTCTACATATACATTAAAGAACCATATTAGAATTTAAAATAACCATTTATTTTCTTAAATTAAAGCCTAACTATGAAACATAATAAAATGTATGCTATAAAGACCTAGGCAAGAAATGTTACCTTTAAAATTCCAGTCATCTTTTACTTCTTCAACAATTGCTTGGAATACTTGCCATACCAGAGGAATTGCTCCTATTTATGGCCAGGAATCATAGAGCATAACTAACAAACACACCACCTAACAGTAACCACAATGAAAGACAGGAAACTTTGCCTCATGTACACACCCACAAAGTTTCTCTACAGGGTTTACTATGACATGGACTGCTGCAAGTGACCCAGGGCCAATCTATAGCAAGCACCTGCATTCACAGCACAAGATGGCCAAGCTGATGCCCTGAGCCCTTCCCCACCAGAAGCAAGCACACTGCAGGCAGTACCTCTTTGATCCGCTTCACAAGTGCATTCTGATCAAAGGCAACAGCTTCTGCACACTGGTGAAGATGATCCTGGTACCGGAGACACAGCTGAAGCACCTGCTGGGGGTCCAGCTTTTCCAGTTTGGTGTTGGTCGGAGAGGTCTGCCCACTGAGAAGTCCTACAAGGCAAGGGAAGGACCAGAGTTAATCTGACAGTTCATGTAACCAGTTCAGCTGCAGGCAAAGAGGCAGCAGAACAAACCCAGAGGAGAGTTTTTCATTACCCTGTATAAAGTTAATTCAGGATCTTAGGATGCTGAACGGACCTCAGGGATGTAATAGTCCAGTGAAAGCTTAAAGTGGGAAGGGCAGGACTGAAGATTTATGGATGTTTAGGATTTACAGCAGTGCAAATACCACTTTGCCATACAGCTTATCCCTCCTTGAAAGAACTTAAACACAGAATCTAAATGCAGGTCCATAATGCACATCAGCTTGGTTTTCAGCAATACAGTGTGTAAACCGAGTCCTGTTTCTTCTCCTCCACAAACAATCCTAAACTGTGAAAAATGAACCTGCTTCTCATTCATGTATGCCAGAAGGGGAAGGAGTTGAGATCTTCATTCACATATAGGTGAGGGACGCAAACTATTTTCACTAGAATCATACTGTCAAAACCAAATCCCTAAAAATCCACTGATCCCCCCAAACAAACCTGAATGAAAAAATACTCCACTCAAGTTAGATCAGTAGAGGTGAAACGGCCGTGTTTTACCTACACTGCCTTTTTTTAAACTCCAAACACTTCCATCTTCAAAGATTTTTCATTACTATCTCAAAGACTAGCAATATATATATATTTTTTTTAATTAAGATTTTGGAATTAGACTTAAAACTAGGACACGGGTAATATCCAAAGCAGCAAAACTGCCCAGAGAAGTTTCCCCTGCCCATTGTTTGTTGCTTTCATAGAGCAACTTGAGAACCTTTGCTGAGCTCAAGCATACGTGTGCCATACTGACTGCATTCTCCAAGGCTGCTGGAAAAAAATATGCTAAACTCTAAGGCCATCCTTTTTTTTGCTCTTTCGTTTACTTACTTCCTTTCCATTTTCCTTCAGCATTAGCACAACTTTTTTCTTGTTGGGACACCATCTGTGACAAACAGCACATATGCACAATCTGTCTTTCCCAAAACATCCGTCAAGCTATGTAAACTGAATTCAGTGACTGCACGCATGTGCCCTTTGGGACTCTCAGTTTACAGACAGGAAAAGACATTAAACCAGCAAATGTAAGCAAATATCACACTAAGCAATTAAAAAGTAATAAATGCCAGTTATTTGGATTGGAAAAGTTCTTCTAAGAACGTACCTCAGTGGGAAATGGAAACTATTTTGGATGGCCCTCATGCCTATTGGAAGCTACAACTGGTGACAGAGTTCTTGCCAAAACGCAAGAACGTGATAGAAACCGAGATGTAAGTCAGATGCATCTTATGAATTTGCGAAAGTTAAACCTCTTTGAAAACATTTCAGATAGACTTCAAAACAAAACCAGGACACAGCAACTTCATCAGATACAATGAAGTAGGTTTACGTTTCATCAACACTCAACATTTTATTCTTTCAGGATGTTCTCAATTACCCTTTGCACAAAACCTTTTCTTTCCTCATCTTAAGAAGAAAAAAGGTAATTTTGTTTTAAAGACTTGTTGCCCACTACGACAGCACTGCTTGAGTCAAGAGGTCAGGAGAGGAAACAAGACACTTCACTGTTTAGTCTCAAACCCCTGTATATTAGTGAATTGCTTTTTATGTTTTAGAAAGAATCATCTCAAAACAAAAATCTTAAGCCCATCAATTTTAGCCACAGATCTTTCCAGCCTACTTTCAGCTGAAATACAAAACTTTGATGGGGGCAAACCCACTGAGGGAAATTAGACTATTTAAAAATGTCATGTTCCATGCTCTAGTGTTTCCTCTGCTTGTTAGTTCTGAAATTATCTTGTCAGGATAAATGTTCAAATAACGATGTCAACTTTTAACACGTTGAATGTTCACATAGGAATAAAGAGTTCACCATACACCTGAGGCAGTTATCCTCTTTCTGCACTGATCAAATACATGATGCTATCAACCAACTAATTGCCTTTTATTACTAATCTCTCACCAGTTTCAAGAGTAGGAAGAAAATTAGACTCCATTTAAGAGATTTAATTAACATGAAGTGTGTATTTTGGCCAACTTATACTGCTTATAAGAATTTAGAAGTGAAATAAGCCAAGGACTGTAAAATGAGCTATAAAGGAAGACACTGATCAAATTTATATTATGTACTTACAACCTTGCACAGCTTACATAATGCTAAAAGCAAAATTAATAAACTGTAAGGAGCCTCTAATTCACTATCCAGAAAAACACGAGTTCAAATGAAGGGAGACATTAACTGTTCAGCTGGAATTCCTTCATAAGGCTGCAGAAGCAGAAATACAATCCAGTACAAATGTTTGGAGTAGCAATAAAAAACAAACAGCATATGCTGCTTAAAGATAGACTATGGTATTGTTTTGGGTGATGAAGTAGGCAGAAGCCAAAGGAATTAGCTTCTCCAAAGACCTCTGGACTCGTGCTGACAATGCCAGAGAAAAAAGCAGCTTAAGAGTTTCAGCTTGCAAGAAAGGAAAGAGCACAGTAAACAACAGCACGGAAAAGACCATCCAGCTCTCCACCTGGCTGAAATTCCCACTGCCAAAAAGCTGACCCACCATTTTTGCTCATGCTAAGAGAGACAGCCAGCACTGGGAACTGCCAGGTATTACTAAACAATTACTCTCTTTAAAACGACTGCTTCCTTCTTGAAGCCTTGTCCCACACTTTGAACTCTCAACTGAACAGGACCATGTCTCAGTGACTGGTTTACACATGGTTTGTAAGAGGATATGAGATCATATCTGTTGCAACAAAATATATATTAGATCACTCTTACAAGTGCCAAAATGGGGAGAGCCACAGGTCACTGAGTGGTTCAGGCACATTCCAGAAACAGTCAGAACATGGACCCGGTAACCAGCACATGTCAGAGCAGCTAAGTGCTGAGCTACTACCTCTTCTTCACTAAGGAAATAGTATACCTGGTTTCACATGTGTGATTGTCAATCCCCACACCCCAAGAGCATGGTTCTGCTCTTAAAAGCAAGAAAACAATATCTAAAGTTTTAATTTATTAAACTGAATACTCATTTTTCAAGCTGTTGGTTCACTTCCAAAAAAGGAAGGTGGAATCCGATGATGATTCGACCAGGAATCATCTTTACATTGTTTGAAACCTCGAGAAAAGACTGCTTGGCACATGAATGATGCAACATACCCCAGCGTTGTACGAAAAGGCAGCATGGAGAATGTCATGGCTCGGGGTGGGGAAGAAACAACAGGGAAATGAGAGGACTACTGCAGAGCTTTAGTGCATGGACCAAACACACTTTGACAACTGCCAAGCATGCATAGTCTTGGCTATCAAATTACACCATAAACCAAATAAGAGAGACTCTGTTATGTGCCCGCCACTATGAAGAGAAGTCAACATCTCCCACCTCCTGTGGATATATCTGATCTGTAAACAGCATACCCATGCAGGTGATAAACAGCAACTGGGACAAAGATTCACATTTCAGCTCCCAAATGGTGCTTTAGAAAGAAAAAACAAAAAACAACCCACAACCCAATACACCAAGTATGTTGTGCATAGAGAAATATCATATATCACTACAAGGCTAGCTGACCCACAGACTTGACAAATCTGTTATTGTTTCCATATTCCTTGGCAAAGCAGAGGCATGTTAAAACCATTTTCCTCCTACTTAGTCATCTCCTTGTTGGTTCCAGGTCAATATACACTTCCAACAAATCACATCCTACTGAGCAGAAGAAAGCTGTTAGTTTAAAAAGCACTTTCATGACTAGAAGTGAAGTTCCTGAAAAAATGCTTTACATGCTATACCGATTCTACATACATATAGAACATAGCAACCCACCACAGTTCTGTTCTGCTGCTTTAATGAACAATCCTAACCACTTGAGCACTTTCCAATCTGAAAAGTATTCATACTTCTTTTTGACTTCTGTATTTCTACTTGTCAATCCCCTTTTTCAACCAGTAAAAGCAGACATTATAAAAAGAAAACCAACAGGCCCACAGTTGTTAATTTATTATTAAAGACATCAAAGCACATGATACTGTCCTCTTGTTACTAATTTTAAGGCCAGAAAGGGTTGCTGTCATCAGCTAACCAATCTTTCTGTGGAATATAAGGGAGGACTTTAAAAGTAATGCAGTTTTTAATCAGAAGCCTGCCTTGCCCGGAATACTGCTTCCAACATTTGGTAACAGTGGACATTTAGAAAACACCTTTATAAGTTGTTCTTCCACAGCCTTTCTGCCTCTAAAAGTTATCAAAAATTTAAGGCACAAAGTGCTGTGCTCAGTGCAGCTATGGTACTTGAGTTTCACTGAACCTTTGTGAAAGGTATACATTTATCTCCACAATATCCTGTGGTAATAAGCAAGATGGTTATTTATGCACAGCATGAAGAAAACTTTTTTCACTGGCTTTACACTTGGCTACACTGCAGTTGTCCTGTGACACAACAGAAATCCATAAAGCGGTGTGTACTTTCTCCCATCACCTTTTCAAATTCAAGAACCCCACTGATCAGTCTCCTTCCCCACAGAAAAGGAGGGACTTATTAATTCTCTGATTTATTTCTCTGGTTACCTCTGTAACACCTTCAAATCCCTCTAACCTGAGGCCTGACTTTCCTCTTTAAAAGCCAGTCAATTTTTCTACAACGTATAATGGTTACACCTGTAGCAATCCAGTTACTTCTATGATTGCTGTGCCTTTGCTGGACCCACTAATCAGCAATAGTCTTTTTAAGACCATGCATTACAGTGTACTGCCGTCACCACTTCTGCTGAGACCAAGGTTAGATGAAGCAACAGACTACACACCATGATTAGCAATAGCTCATCAACTTTACAGAGGTGTCCCCAGCTCTGGTACCTGTTTATGGAGGTTTATTGCTGTATACATTACCATTTTTTTCCCTAAAAGCCTCTTCTGTGAGCACTTCTCACTGATCCCTATGAAGAATAATGTACTACTTTTGTAGTAAATGCCG